CTCACGAGTCGCACCACGACGTTCACGAGTCAATCGCTCCTCCAGGCGGGTGCCCTGAAAGTCGCCCTTCTGAACGATGCTGCACACCTGGCATCGCTGACTTGCGTAACAAAGGGCATCGCTACTAGGAGCAAGGGATTTCTGGTGTCAAGGAACATCAATCAGCCCAAACTCAGATTCTGTGTTCCCCACCAGGGCCAAGTGGTGAAAAAAACTGGCTCGAGATGAGTATTGAGGGATATTGAGGGTAATTACATGATTGAATATGTTTGAAGAACATAGAAGAGAACCGATGCACGTCCATCCACATTGAAACATCAAACCGATTCCAAACCTCTCATCACACCCAAGGTCCCTCATTTGCGAAGCATGCCATGGATCACCACGGTCTCAGGCACAAAGCGAGCAAAGGTGCTGATCCCCCGCACCAGTTTGCAGAACCTCGCGGTCGGGGGGCCGCAGCCGCTTCGGCGTGCCCGGTCATGCTCGGTGGTGTCAATCATCTTGGGAACATCGAAAAGTATATAACTATTATATATTATATCATTATATATATATATATCATAACATATCCTTGTGGTGGTTTGGTGCCAACCCGTGGGATATTGCTTAAAAGTTGCTAGAGTCCGGGCCTGACTAGCATGTTGATACTGAAGTTTTACCGTCGATTCCTAAACCGAGTGCACAAATATCCCAAAGCTCACACTGTCCTTTGTGTCATTACGTCTTATTAAGTCCCGAATTTCGGGGTCCAAACCTCTTCAGCGCTCATCTTAACTCCATGATCATCAATCATCATATGATCATGGCACCAGGTTGGCAAATGTCGAACCATGGCGGCCACCGAAGCTCCGGCGTTGGGAAGCTCCGGCGTTCGTGGTTCGTTCCAAACCCCGAGACCTGCTCGGGGGGGGGGAGTGAGTGGTACGTGAAGAATCGGTGTCTTTTGAGGCAAAGGCAGCGAAAACATGAAGAATTGAAGAATCCTATCCTGGGATCATGGGAAGATCGTGGGAACGATTCAACACAAAAAAGTTTCGTTGGAACGCCTTCCCACTCCATGGACGCCATCGCGAAGCATTTGAGCGATGTTTCCCAGGCGCCCGCACGTGAGTTGCAGATTCTCGATTTCGCGAATACCGAGTGCCCTGGCACAAGACGAATTGGCTGAAGCGGATGTTGTCCAACGACGGCTTTCAGTGGTCAGAAGCAGCTCCCGGCTTCCGCCCGGTTCCGCCAGAGCCCGCACCGGGGTCGTCAGTGAACTAGCCACTGGGCATCAACATGAGCTACATAAGCCATAGGATTCTTCACCGTTGATGTATCTTGATGTCGCCTAGGTGTCGTTCGGCGACTCAGACGATCACAAGCAAACAAAAAACAAGACTTCGTATCTTATCTTGCAAAGAAATTGGCTGGGGAGGCTGAATCATAATTGAACCTTTAGGCTTAAACCAAAGGACTGTCTCGAATGGAGACAACTGTTGAGCGCATCCCATTTGTATAATTGAGCTCCCCCACCAAAATCACCCTGTGTTCCATGTTTTTGTACTGTATATGTTCATTTGTGTTCTGCAGAAACCAGTCACAACTTTTAGGTCACCAATGGGAAAACCATGGAAAAACGGTTCCGCCTCCGACTGCTCGGCCGGATCTTCAACTGTGCACACCTAGGCTGGCGACTCCCGGTTCATTCACCGATTCAATGAGAGGAACTGAGGTGCAACTCCCAAGGTTTCTGTTGAACCATGGTGAAACCCCGGGAAGCCCCTATTGATGAGGTCAGCTTCCCAAAAGATACAGTAGAAGGAGACAAATCTCCAGGAAATCCTCACCATTTCTATTATGTCACCAGCTGGTTGGAACTATTCCTCTTGCACTTGTTCAATTGCTCATATCCTACAAAGGCTACCACAACTTTCCTCCCTCATTGGTTTGTCTCAAAATGAAATACAGTGACCTCCAGTGACCCTCAAGTCACTCCTGTTTCATCCGTGACTTGTTTCATCTACTTCGTCCATGACCTTACCCTTGCCTGTCACGCACTGGAATGAATGATGCAATGTAATGATGTTCAGTTCATGATGTGAAATATGGCGATGGGTCAAAACCGGGGGACCCGGGTTGACCACGGAAGATGCAGAACAGACTACCTGACATGGTCAAGCTGCAAGAGATTGGGGTTCCAAGTTTGGACCCACAGCCGCATATAGGCGAGTCAGTGCCTACTCATCTCTCAAGGGAGCGCTGATGCTTTGCCGCTGGACTCGTGTTCACAGCGATGCTCAACAACCAGGTCGAGGCACTCAGTAAAGTCCAGCTGACCAAGTCTGGCCATGGTTTGTTTGAGGTTCCTGTCCACAGATTGAGGCACAAAGAAGCGTCTTCAGTGAGAAGCAAGCCCCCTTAGCTTTGTTGTTCCTGATAGCTTCTTGTAACTAGTAGTAAGGCCAGGAGCCCCTAGTAGCGTCCTTGCTCCTAGTAGCGATGCCATTTGTTACTAGTAGCTGAGAGCAAGCCCCTATAAATTTTGTGCTCTTGCTAGCTGACTGAAGATTGTGGTATGCAGTATGTTCATATCTCACATGTGGATGCACAAATCAGCAACAATTTACATAAAATGGTCTGCTTCAGGAACAAACAAACAGTGTGCTTGGAATTGTCTTGCAACTCTATTTCTGGAGCAAGCGCTTATATTCCTACCTTTACCCCTTCCAAACCACGGGACCAAAGAAACAAAACCAAGGAAGAAGGATTGACCTGCATCAGAAAAAAAAAAAACACATAAGGGTTTAAGCTAATGAACTTGACAGCATTGAACAAAGCCTTTCAATTCCCCGGAGTGGTTCTCATGGTTCTAACCCAAAAGGGATCCCTTTGAAAAAGCTGGTCCGTCTCCCAGGCCTAAGTGGCTTCGCAATCAAACGGGAGAACATCACCGAGGCCACAATCCCCAGCACAAGCATCACCTTTGAACTGCGACCGGTGAACTGCATCGCTACTAGAAACAAGTGCCTTACTAGTAGTAACAGGTGCCTTACTAGTAGTAACATCCCCGCGGTTTTCCCCGGGACAGGTCGGCCGGGACCGGTCTACCACGGGAGGGTCGGGTCGGGTTGGCTCTTGCCGGGTTTGGCCATGAAGACCCTCAGGAATCCTGGCAATCAAAGCGGGCGCTGTAGACACGGGTAATGATCCAAACCCATATCGATGTTGAGTGAAAATGTCCCTGAAACAAACAATCACTTGGAGGCTAGTGGCAAATTAATTATTGGCTCAAGCTGTTGACAAACCTTGTTTGGGCAGAACCACATGGCTATGTGGTAGCATGCGAGTTGATCCACTAAGAAACATATATATATATATACATATATGTATGTACAGTATTATGAAATTATGGCAGCCAGCTTGTTGCCACATGACTGTGCGAGAAAAAGGCACCTGCCAAATCCACATGTGTAGATTGATTCCCTGCTTCGATCTGCTGTGATCTGCCACGGTATCATACTCTGGAGCAATGCAAGAAATGATTCTGGGCGCTCAGCCAGAAGGATGTCTCTTCCTCGTGCACGTGCCTGACACTAGAATCAGCTCAGAAGACTTTGGACTGACCGGAACCAAGCAAAGGTTTCCAAAAATGTCAAAAAACTCTGAATTTTGTAAGAACCGTCATCAAAGAAACAGCTCTCCTGGTCAACAAGCTCCGTGGAGGTTGCAATGGACGCCACCTGGATGGAGTGTCAATGGAAGATCTGCCTCTGAGCACATGGAGCTTAAAACCCTCCAAGCACGCCCAACCTGTGGTACTGGACTATGAAAATCCATGGAGGATGCGACGCCGTCAGATTCAATCAGGTTCAAGTCAATATATAATATACATATAATATATAGTATATAGTTACACAAACGTCAGCAGGTTCTGCGTTGAAACTTCAGTGGTGGGTTGACTCAAGCTATGGCTTTGTGTCTGAAATCAAGGGCCCCCCAGGTGCCTCCAGTATCCGGAACAATCGAAAAGTAGATGTTAACCAATTACCATCAAACATTAACTAAGGTGTAGGAGAAGAACTCATGGCGGTTGATCAATATTCTTTCATGATGCAATGGCTATTCTTCGCTGGGAAAATACCTTTCACGAATCTTTCGTGGCCTCCTCGCGAAGCAAGGTCCTAAAGCCATGTCTAGTTAACAGTTAACATGTGTTGTTGGAACAGGGTGGAACTATACTTGTAATATCAACAAATAGTGACTGGCATCTTGCAGCATGACCTAGACACAAGGTTGAGAGTTGCTACAGCTGATCTAGGGTCACTTGCAGCACCTGCACGACAAACCTTGGGGTCCTGGAGGAAGCTTGGGATAGAGCCAGGCACACGTCAATCCAACCCCTGTGCCAGCTACCAACACAAAACAGTGCAGCTCGGGGAATGTGGCGGGGGCTCAAGTGGAGCCGGACTTTGACGCTTCGCGGATCTCTCACAAAAATTCAGCCGTGATTTCCACAAAAAAAAATGTTGTGCCCAAAGGAACTGCGGATCGTTGCCTCTGTGTCAGGGCTGCGCAAGGGTGATGCAGTTGCAGTTTGTGAATTAACTTGGGGAAGGACAATCCTGTACGCACTGTCAAGGGCAAGTTGAGTAGTTGAGCTGTCGGCTTGTTCAGTGAGGGCTCGGCAAGGAAACATTGAGGCTTCAGTTCGTGTGGGGAATTCGGGACACTTCCGCCCATTGGCCCTGCCAGAGGATTGCCAGATCGATACTTTCGCGAACCTCATGGCGGATCTTTCGCAAACGGCTTGGACAGCACCTAAAAGGTCATTCTATATGGAAAAAAAACTTACACTTACACACCCCTTTAGATCAACTCCCACATAGTGGTTGGCCTTCCCTCTCAAAATGCAGTTTCAGTCTGGAATGAGCAAGCAAGAAATCAAACATCATCTTGCAGAGCTAATTATTGCTAATTACATCTAATTACTGGAATATCACACTCCAAACGATGCGTGCTGCAAAGAAACTGTAAAAAAACAAGTTGAAGAGTTCAAAGTATTCTGCCAACAGCCAAATGTTCGAATACCAGTCTGCCAAAGCTTAAAGATCTTAAAGAGGTACAGGCACAGTAAAGCCTTCTCTGCAGGTCGAAGTCTCTTGACTCTAAAATTGTTTAAACAATAATGCAAGCATGCAGCATTGCAAACAAACACGTTGCAAATATCAATATCTTCACGCTTCGGTCATTTTACACTTGCTCAACCCAGCATCGGACCATCCTTGGTCGGCTTGGGCAACATCTTTCGCAAGATCTCTTCTGCAGCCGTGGCCTGGGCCGTCTCACATGCTCTGAGGGCTGCTTGGACGGTCTCCGCTTTGATCCGAAAACCTTTCCTCTTCATGGATTGCACCAAAGACAAAGCCGGCCGCCATTGGCTGGCCCTTTCGCAAACAGCAACTGCTGAGCTGTAGGTCATGTCATCTGGAATGACGACTCGTGTCCACATGTCATCCAAGTAGGCAAGGGCAGATTCCCACCGTCGACCCTGCGCGGCCAAAATAAGGCCCAGATTGTACATCGTCCATGAAGGCTGCGTCTTCGTCAAGAGCATTTCATCCAAGGCAGCTAGACCAATCTCCCACTGGCCACCTTGAGCACAAGCATGTAAAGTCACATTGAAGGTATCGAAGTCCGGAATTCTTTGCCGGTCCAGCAAGCTCAACACGATTTCCCACTTTCCAGCGTTGCAGCAAGCCTGCATGGCCAAATTGTAAGACATCTTGTTCAGCCCTTTCCGAGGTGCATCAGCTAAGAGCCCCAGCACCACCTGCCATTGGCCCACCAAGCCACATGTCAACATCGCCGTGTTGGTGAGCACTATATCACCCACTGGCCACTCGCCTGTGCGTTTCGCTTCCAACAGCTCTAGGGTTTTTTCCCATAACTGCAACTTCCCAAAGGCTGTCAGAAAAACTTGCACTTCCTTCACCCGCGTGAGGTTTTCCGGATGTTGCAGGATCTCCTCCACCACTTCGAGCGGTTCTTCACCCTCTTCCAGTCGTTGCAAGCGGCCTCGATTCTCCAGGGAGATCGAGGGGCCCTCGACACGAGGCCTCGACTTCCGCGCCCGACCCGGCGCGCCCTGCTGGCGCGGGCGCGGGCGCGGGCGTGGCGGGCTCTGAGCACCCCGATCGGCCAAGGAAAGCTGGAGGGTCGCCAGGAGACAAAGGCACACGATTCGCATGGTGGACACGTGAAGCTCAAAGTAAGCTTAAGACTCTTTAGCTCCAAGCTTAGTGCTGGTGTGGGGTACAAGCCTGGTCAAAGTCTGTGTAATCCAACTTCTATTTCATCAATGGATCAATGATGCTGGCTGGCTTGAGGACAGTCCTGCTTGAGTCCTGAACTGAAGGGACGCCGGTTTGAGGACATACGCCTACATGGCTACATGGACACCCCGACAGGTTCACCGTGGAAACTGCAAATGGACAACCATGGGCAACCACTGGCTAGCAAGCTTTTCCTGCCAAAGCGCAAGATTCAACTTGACCGTTCAACCTCAACTCACTTGTTGTTCACAAGTGAAACTGAATGGATCAGTCAAGTTATCCTGCAGTAGATTTGGTATATGGGACATGACATGGCATGACTTGGTAACAAGGCGGTTATGTAATAACATGTGCAACGCCCGACCACCAGAAGTCAAAGTGGATTCACTCCTGAGGATGACTCTCAAGATTAAGAAGCATCCCATTCCTTGGAAAAAGCCCGCGCATTCCATCTGGAACGGAGGCCTTCTCTGCCGCGGCCGCGTCTTGCTCCGCCTCAAAGGCTCGAGCCAGCCAAACTCTTCCACTGGCTTCGAGCGCTGTGCTTGGTCTACGTCAGTGGCTGTGGCAAGTGGCAACCGAACTGGGGTCCAAGCAGTCGTGCCAACAAACGCATTCGACGGCAAGACCGCAACAGCAAGCCACCTGTCCAACATTCGGAAGGCGGCATTGATTGAACTGTTTGTGAGTATTGTCTGACCACAAAGGGATCAAATGTTAAGTGGGATAGAAAGTCGAAGATCTTCCTTATGAGTACAATCTCTTGTTGCCTGAGTCGTGATGACTATCCTGCAAATCAAAAAAGGACCCCAACATAGCTACATTAAAAGAAATACATTATATATATATATATTCTATACTTGACGATGTTGTTCAACCTCTGCGAGTTGCTGAACTTGATTGCCAATGCGTCACATCAACCTCAACCTTTTTGCAGTTGGTGGTCACGCCGTTGGTCGAGTGATGCCGAGGTTTTCATTCGATAGACCCTCCTCTGACTGATCTTTCCGCAGGGTCTTGGGATGTCCCGGGTGCTTCTTTGGGTGATCCGTTCGGTTTTCCAAACACAAGTATGCCTCTTATAGAAGTATTGCCCCCAAAAAACTGCCCAAACAATATGCGCATACGGAGATGTCCAGCCTGCTGCGTGAACCATGGATGACCCCAAAAGCAATGATTATATAATTGTGTTGGTGCAAAAGGTTATATAATTGAGATTGAATCAACTCAAATGACGGATGCTTGTAAACCACAAGCGCACCCTTGAAAGGTATGCTTGTCTGTCAGCGAAAAAAACATGAAAGTATAATATGTGTGGATGTCTTTTCGCACATGTTTCACTTCAGAGAGTGCGCAGGAGTGTGCATCCAGCCAAAACAATAGAATCCACTGAGTTAAGATCACTCATTCTGAATTGTCCTGTTAAGAACATTGCACGCACAACTCTTCTATAACAAGAACTTTCCACCTGCAAGAACTTGCAACCAATGTTGTTTTTTGTGAACAAAAAAGCGGGAAAAAAGCAAAACAAAAGCAAATGAAAATGCAAAAGCAGCGCAAGTTGCTTTGTTTTTGCATTTGTTTTGCTTTTTTTGGCTTTTTTCCTGGTACCACTTCTGCACTTTTACCCGTCAGCAATATTTGCTGTACGCTCCAAGGAAAAAAGCGAAAAAAAAGCGAAAATAAAGCGAAAAACATGCGAAAATAAAGCGGAAAAAAGAAGTGAAAAAAAGCGACAAACACGCACAGCTGCATTTTTTTGCTTTTTTGTTTGCTTTAACTTTACCTTTTGCTTTTTTTTGCTGTGTTTTTGCTTTATAAAATCATTGTGGCTCCTTGTTTCTGTGGCTGGCGCGGCCAACATAATTCTATAACAAGAACTTTCCACCTGCAAGAACTTGCAACCAATGTTGTTTTTTGTACATGCATGAATCTTGTCGCTACCAGGAAAACACATAAATCATGTTTTCCAGGTCACTTCCCAACAGCCTCCCTAAAGTCACCTCAAACCTGAACCTGTGAACCAAGCAGCTGTCCACACGGCCATGGCCATACCTGACCCTGTGAGTGGATGTACCTAGTTGAAAGCTATTAGTAACAAGTGCCACGCTAGTAGTAACAAGTGCCT